AGATAAAGCTGTTACTTTAATTCGTTCTCAGGTGGTTAGTGCTTTTTCTTTTGATCTCTAATAATATATTTCTCTCATTATTGTAAAAATTACATCAAAATTTTTATTTTAAATTTAGTTTAACGAAGTTGAATGAGTTGTTTGTAGTCTGAGCTTATTTTATAGTATCCTGAAGTCACCTAGTGATGTTTTATAAGTTCTAAATCAGTGGCCACAGGTTTGTTACAGCTCTTGTCCTTGCTTACTTATTGTATGCTTCTTACCTTTTACTGATAGTGGTGACTTACAGACCGGATAGACCATTTTTTGCTACCATTCATCTACAGTTTTCTGCACTTACTACATTCAGGTTATGACTGCTATACACAGATACAGTTGAATACTTAGTATGCTGGAAGGATTTGATGCTACTACCATGTGATACAGAAGAATGCAAAGTAAATAGGCAAACACATCTTTCTGTGAATTGATATAGACAACAGATACCTGTGATTAAGCTAACTACCCACTGGATGTCACTATTGTTCCACAGAAATTCATCTAAGAGAATATTTATCTAGAGTTGAGTGGCTGACAGCAAAGACCATTAGCTTGCAGCAAACTGAAAATTTCTAATTGTGTTTGCAGGAATATTGTACATTTATGTTCATTTTGCAATTGAATTTTATATCAAGGTTCACTATTTCATAATAATAAAAAAAGATCATTGCCAAACCTTAATCTGTGATGACTGTGTAAGTGCAGATAGTGAGTAATGAAAACCTACCAGCCAGTAGAGAAGCTTGCATTCATTATACTCAATCTACTTGTTCTCATTATTATTCTCTTACTTGGCAATTGCTGGAGGTAATCTCAACACAGTGAATGATCATTACCAGTCTCCTTGAATTTCCTTAGTACATCAGTTATTTTCTTTTTCCAAAGATGCGCACTCTGTGTGGTTTTTTATTCTGAAATACCACTTGAATATTCCAGGAGTTAGGTTATTTAGTTGAGAGGCCAAGTAGTCCACTAGCTAGGAGGATGTCTTGGTGTGAGGAGACTGGATTATATTCCCAGTACTCAACTGGTGTGGGATCTCAAGCAAACTACTTAAAATCTGTCACATTTATTTGCCATCTTCTGTCTGTCTTCTCAACATCCCTTGTAAACATTTAATGTAAGAGATTGTTGGAATGTGTTTGTGCAGTGTCTAACTGAGGAAGTCCTGACTTCTTGTAGGATTTTTGGGGTGCTACAGTAAAATGAGACAGTTTTGGTTGGTGATTCCACCTAACATTTGTCTCAATGCTGTTTAAATAAATGTAGCCTGCAAAACTGGTAAGAGTGAAAACGGGCCTGGAAGAGTACTGCACTTTGTCTGTGTTTTGAAAAGCCCTGGTCTTTGAGTGGTAGCTCTAGAATACCATCTGTGACTCAGGAAAAGGATTTGCAGTTGATTAAAAAAAACCTCCAAAAAACACAAAAAAGCCCAAACCCCAGACACCTTCAAAATGCGTTGTTGCTCTCCTAAACTTGGAATATGTAGGCAGCATCAGATCCATTAAGGGACAGCCAGGTTATTAGAGGTACTCAGTTACATCTCTTTCCTCGAGTTGGTGCCTAAAATGGTTGTATGAAGGCTTAGGGGTTTGTAAGAGCCATCATAGCTGTTGCACATCCTCTAAGGATCCCTCAGCATCACCCCAGTGAGGTTTTAGCAGTTTTGTGAGTAACTGGCACCAAAACACCCAAACCTCAAAAGTGGGATCAGAATTATAGATACCAGCTGCCCAAACTGAAGAGAAGCAAAGGAGAAATTTAATCTCTGGAATCTTTGAGGCTTTAATGCTTCATTTATATTTGGGAAAGGGGCAGCATTTCACAGTTACTGAAAGTTGCTCAGTTAAGACCAGGTTGTTTCCTGCAAGATTATTAGAATTTGTGACTCTGATGGCCTAGACACCCAAACAACTTACTACAGTGTTTAATTTGACAGTGATGACACTAAGTTTAGTTTAGTTCATGAAGTCTCTGAGTAGATGAAAGCATGGGGTTTGTAATGTGTTTTAACATGCTATGAAGCTGGTTTAAAATGTTTTGTAAACCATAGCCACTAAAGTGGGATTTAACAACTCAGCTCTCAGGCCTCAGGCTGTGCAAGAAGGTTCAAAGAGTTACACTAGGCATCTTTTTTGTGTAATCAGACAGTGGTTTCATTATCAATGACTACAGCAGCAATTACACATTCATCTATGTTTGAAAATTCATGAAAAGTGAATCTGTAATTTTTCAGGCAACAAATGAATTAGTTGATTTGAGCTTGAATATCTGTGCTTGAGTATAGACTATGCTGAATTTTCTGTTATTCATCTATGATTAATGACACACTGTCCTTATTTTCTTTTATGCCCGTAAGTAAATATTTTTCAAAGGAGCTAGTGATATTTTTACAGGTGTTGCTTTTTGTAGGAGGTTGTGGATTGGTTCTTTCTGAGTACTGTTACGGTTAGAACAAGACATTAAAGAAACATAAAAGCAAGCATATGAAGTCAAACTCAGTTATGTACAACTCATTCACAGACACAGTCCATTACGAAGTTTTAGAAGATGTATTGAATACTTTCAAATTTCAAAAATTCTAAAGTAATAGTATGAAATTATTTTCTGATTGCAGTCAGCACTCCCAAAATTTAATAGCAAAATTTTCATATATATATATACACACACACACATACATATACATACATATCTCTCTGTATGTATATGTATACATGAACCTATGTAAATTTTGGGCCAACTCTTTCTTGTTTTGCCTGTGCCTAATACTAGTCACCACTGCAGACGTTAAAGCCTGTAGGGGTACAGAGATGGTTCCTAACACGATGTTTACAGCAAACTCTAATCCTTCAGTAGAGAGATAACCAAGACCTGCTGGTAGAAAACTGAATCCCATAGTAGCTAAGATAATTCAATGTGTATTGACTTCTTAATAGCAGCTTTCAAAGTACAACTCAGGTTAAAAATCACAGTCTGCTCAGTGCTGCTGAAGTGTCTCAAGCACTTCCTTTATTAATTGTGTGGGATCCTCCTTGTACTCGGTAAAACGGGGTCTCAGTGTTGCGGGGTTCAGTCTCAAGCTTCTACTATCAGGTATTTCCTCACTACGGTCCTTGAAAATGAGAATGGTTTCATTATATGAAAAAAAACCCAAACCAAACCAAAACCCCTTTAAATGTATTAGCTCTTTTTAAGAGATGCTTCCTAGCTTTGTTTTCATTCTATCTAGCATATTTCAAGGCAATTGGCTGTGATTAGGTTTTTTCCAGTAAAAATTCAGAAGTATATTCTGCTAAGGTTTTGCTTTTTCTAATCTGCTGCAGTGAAACTGCTTTGTAGAAACATTTCCTCCCAAGTGATTGAAGACATGCAGTTTACTAAGCCAAATCAAGTTACAAAATAGAGATAAATTACTGACCTGTTTCTATATAGGTGCTGCTGTATTATTTCAAGAATGAATGACACCCGCTGCCCCCCCCCCCCCCCCCCCAAGCCCCTTCATGATAATCAAAATAGGAGGTACGATTTATTAGGAAATATGGGGGATGTTATATTCTTCTGCAACCAACAAAAATACATGACTTTGGGAGAGGAAGAGCAGGGAGTAGCCAGATTGCAAATCTATTTTCTCCAGAACCACTGATGAATGACTACACATGAAAAATGAGTATTTGTGAATTCTTGTAAAGTCATTAAGGCTTTGCTAAGAGAGAAAAATAATTTGCCACTGATTTCTTTAAGGATTTTTGGATGCATTCTTCTCAGATCAGTGAGTAACCAGTTTTCTCTGGAAGCTCTTTGCAGTTGTAGTATTTCTAAAATGCACACTGGTGGCTTTGTAAATAATGAAGCTTTATTTAGTTATTAGAGGGACAGTGTGCAAAACACATCACAAAACCCTAACAAGCCCAGCCTGGCAAATAAAAAGAAATAGAAGAAAATGACAGATTTAATGGTTTCCTCAGCTACATTACTGTCTTTGACAGTCTTGAAAAGAGAATTTCTAATGAGCACTGAAACAAATGTGTGCAGGAAGTGGTCTTGCTTCTGCTGCTGCACATTTGAGTTCCTCTAATTGCATCAATAAGGAATTTCTGCTCCTCATTTAATGAATGCCTTTTGACTACTTTCTGAAAGGCAACTGGATGTAAGGGGTAAACACTGGCACCTTTTGTATGAAGTCACATAAACAGGTTTCAATTAATAGTTATCAGCCCTAAAAACACTGTATTATAATGCAGTACAGTAAATCCCATTGTACCTTTTTATTTTAACATTTTTATTAAGCCTAGCTTTCCCTCTGCTTTACTTTTGATGTGATACCTCATGTCCTAAGACAGTGCTTTAACTCCCCACCGGCTTTTTATTATATCTTGTGTTGGGCAGAAATCAGGCATTCTTTCAGAGCTGTTCCTGCACCATGTCTCTCAGACACTCAGAATTCATATGATGCTACAGTACCTGGGTCTTTAGTTTGCTCTCGGTTCAAAACCTGAGTTTCAGAGCAAGGGCTGGGGTTAGATGGGAGGGGAGGAGTGGGGGGGTGGCAGAGGGGGAGGAATGAGGGAAGCTGAGGTTGATTTTTCTTTTTTTTTTTTTTTTTCATTGTTGTCATTTTTCTCCCTAAACAGAGGCACAGTTGCTGCAGGTGCAGTGGATTACTTATGAAAGAAGTTTTCTATTTAAAAACAAGAGAGACTTTAATAGAATCAGTAGAGGGTTTGTACAATAGGTATTGTATTAAACCAGAGCTCAGGGTTCACATTGATTGTGGTATTTAAATTTCAATGAGTTGATTATGTATGAGAGTAAAATGACCAGTATTATGAATGTACAAAAAAGAGACATGGAAGAGCTGTGCCAGAAAAGTGAGAAAAACGTTCCCTTTATAGTCCCTAGAGTTCAATAAAGCACCACTATTTCCCAGCTTTTAAAAGCTCTTTTATCACAATGGTTCATACCTCACATTCCCTGGAGCCTGATTTGTTATACGTGCAGGGTCCTGTTCCATTCAGCAGCATCTCACTGGTTTCAGTGTTGGTAGGTTTGTAATCTACATAAAATTCCTGTGTGCTCGGAGTCATTTGCTTCAGTGACTGTCTTTTCTTTTTCCTGTGCCTTCGCATGAGAGAGCGCTGCTGCAGCTGCTTCATACTGGCTGGGTAACGCTTCCATGACACATAGATTACCAGCAGGATCACAAGCACAGACAAGAAAAGGGCCACGCTGCCAGCTATGATTTTATGGAAGGAGATGTGTTCTGTGTCGTGCTCAGGTTCGGAGCTTGATTCAGTGGCTCCAATAGTTGGGGGCAGAGGGGGCTTGCTGTCATGTTTAGGCCTGGTGAGTTTTGGTTTAAACGTTGGCTTTGGGAGAGCTCGTGCTAATTCAAACCTTTCCGTGGTACTTTTGCCACAGATGCTGTAGTTTTTCACTGCATCAATAACATTCACCCCTTGCAGCTCTTTGGGGCTGGCACAAATAATTGTATTTTCCCTCAGCCCTTTAAAACTTTTAAGCCAGTTTACCAGAGAGCAAATGTTTCTGCTGCATTCCCATATATTCCCAGCAAGGCTGATGTCATTGAGGGATATCCAAGAATCCAAAATTTCTTGACCAATAAATGTGAGCTTGTTTGAATCCAGGTTGAGGCGCTGTAAATTGGGCACACACTGAAAAACACTAGGTCCACTGAAAGCTTCTATTTCATTACCAGATAAATCAAGTCTTTGTAATGAGCTCCAGGTCCAGGACATAGTTTGTCCTATAACACTGATTTTATTCCACTGTAAATAAAGGTTTTGAAGGCTGACTAGCCTTGGAAAAAGTGCCAGGTTGAGCTTAGAAAATTGATTGTGCTCCAGATGAAGCTCTTTAAGTCTGATCATGCCTGCAAACACATTCCTCGCTAAACTTCGGATGCGATTATAACCCAGGTCCAACAGTTCAAGGTTCCTACAATCTTGAAATATTCGAACAGGAATGGTTCTTAGGGAATTGGACCGCAAATGTAAACTCAGCAGCTTCCTTAAGCCCCTGAACTGTTCAGATCCCAGAGACTGCAGCTGATTGTATGACAGATCCAAATTCCGGAGATTTGTCACAGGTCTGAAGGTATTATTAAGAAAATAGGAGATTCTGTTGGAACTCAAGATCAACTCTTTTAGTCTGCGTATTCCACTGAAAGCATTTTCGTCAATATTGCTGATGTGGTTATGGTCTAAATAGAGCCAGGTGAGTTGATTAAGACCTTTAAATTGATTGTATTTTAGTTTTTGGAGGCTGTTATATCGAAGGGACAAACCTAAACAACCAGCAGATATACTTGAGGGAATCTCCTGCAATTTCTGAGATTCACAATATACCATTTTGCCTTCACACCTACAGCCCTTAGGGCATCCTCGTTCAGCAGAAGAAAGCATTGTCAGTAATACAGTAGGGGCTATTACCAGAGCTACAGCTGATCCGCTCAGTAGCCTAATTACATTGAAACCTGGAAATAAAAACAACTTAGAAAAGTTATCCCCCCACACATCAGTCATTTCTTTCAATCATGCTAAACATATTTTACTTCAACAGTCATTTAAAAATCCCTAGCTCGACTCAACTACTTTTCATATTGTTTTCTTTACTCAGATTTTTTTAAAAGAATACCTTTATATAAATACTGAAAAACAGTTGGGTAAAAGGTGAAATCCCTAAACAATTTAACTGTTATAACGAATCACATCAAGGTAAGTCTATGGAGTAATTAAAGCAGAGGCTATGCAGTGGCTATGGACTATACATTAGAAAAATAACATGAAAAACATACCCATCCTTTGTGTTGTTCAAAGGTCGTCCTTAGGTCTTTTGTTTTTTGCTTAGTGTGCCACAAGCATGGCAGCCCCTGTCAGCTGCACTGTAGTGAGTCAGGGCTCGCTGACACCCAGGAAGAAAAATTGGACCCCTTGGGAGATGGACCGATTTTGGAACATTATTCTTTGCCAGCCATGCAGAACACTCCAAGAATAAATCAATCCCAACACAGCATTCGCAGCAGAATGTCAAATTCTTCCTAGGTAATAGGATCTTCATGGATATTACGTTTTTGCATCTTTATAGTTAGGAACCTGGCTTTTAAAATTTCTCTTTATAGGAAAGCATGTTAGATTCCTCCAAGCACCATTTAGCTATCTGAATTCACACGTCTGTATTCCATAGCACAGCAGTTCCCTTACTTAGTACCCGATCCGGCTAGGAAGCTGCTTTGTAGCATAGAAGGTAGAATAAGCCCGTACAATGAACAAGCTCTGCTCACTTCTGCATACTGTCATTCTGAGAGCTCCGTCCGACTGTTGCTTTGGTTTCAGGGAATGCAGTCTTATGTAAAGCTGCCCCCAGTGGCGAAGAATATTATGGGCATGTGCAGAAATGTCTTCCTTTTATCTTGCAAATGAGTAAGCTCTGCTGGGAAAAGAGTGATTGTTCTGAGTGACAGATAGAAGCGGAATGGCCAGCTCCGATGTAAACTAGTGAGGTGTGCTGAAATATCCAAATCCTCTTAGTCTCTTCTGCTGTTTGTGAAAGCTGTTTTGCATCCTTGAACTTAACAGCTCGGTGTGAGCTGCTGAGACTTTTGTCTGAAGGGCTAACATGACATTTGTAGGACATAGACACAAATTTTTGTTCCTAAGGTTTTGGGGTTTTTTTCTTCCTGCATTAGACATGTGTTCACATGACCTTTTTGCAATAACTCACTGTTTTTTAGTGAAGTATCAGCTCCCTCAGTGTGTCTCTCATCAAGCGTTTCAGTGGGGACACTATATTTTACAACATGAAAAATGTTTTGGAGCTGACATTTTGCCTTTTTGCTTTTTTCTTCTCTGTTAAAAGGCGTAGTGCCAGGAGGTTAGAAGAGAGTATTGTGCTCATTTATTTCCCAACTTGCTGTCACTTCTTTCCACAACACTAACACTTCAAACACAGGCTTCTGTAACCCTTACAATATAGGGACTAAGCAGCTTGGTATAGGGCCTGACTCGGATGAATTCTTTTGTTTTTACTGTAACTTAGGACATGGGCAGGTTTTTATATGAAGGTACAATATGCAGAGTGTTTTTAGATGTGTGACTGGGCAGTCCTTATATATCACATAAAGAGCCTTTTTCTCTTTCCTTCCTGCGTGCTGGAGAAAGGACACATCCTCTTATCTGGGCAGAGCAAAGGTAAGATGGTATTACGGCAAATGCACCATGCTGGTAGTCTTCCTTCACCAGGAAATATGCGATCAGAGCTGATGGTGGGGAAATATAAAATCAGGGCTCTTTGTCGTGCAAGAATAGGCTCAAGCCTGAAGAGAACTGTGCTGCTCGTTAAAAGAGGAGTACAGATTACAGTCCCTCAAATGCATCCAGACAGCTCTGAGAACTGCTTTTCCTTTCTGAGGCAGAAGCCCTTGGAATAGCGTGCTTTGAATTTTCCCTTATTATTCACTGCTGTGAGTGTAGAAGAACTTAAAGTGAGGTGAAACCTGAAATCCACGCGTTAAAATGCCAACGTTGCCTAGTAGTTAGTCTGTGAATGTCTTCAGGTTTAGACTAATCCCACTAGTATTAATGCATATATCAATAGTGCCTAAATTAGGAGCACAGTTGCCCCTGGCTAACAACTATAAACATCTTCCATGTCAGGAGTCAGAAATACATACCTGCATCAAGGCACATCCTGTGAAAATTCTCCCCTTTGGGTCAGATTTGTGGAAAGGGAAAGGGTTAATTCATTAATCTGTGTGACTGTCAATGTCTCCCACTGCCTACTACAGCTTGGTGCTGGCTCTTCAATCTGATCTGTAGGGTTGAGGAGCCAGTGACAAACTGCGGGCTGCACTGGGAACTGTGATGGTCTGGGGAGCTGTTCTGCTGGCAGTGTCACGTGCCAGCCTTCATGTGCCTGTTACAGGTTTTCTGTCACTGCCTTGGGGTCCCTCTGTACTTGATGGAGCAGGATTGGCAGCTTCAGAAGACAGTTTGGACCTTCAGTACTTCACTTTGTCTCTTGGAACTGCCGCTCTTCCTCTGTTGACAGTAGGGGATGCCTGTGACAGGTAAACTCTTTATTGAAATGGCTCAGGTTCATAAACTAAGATGGCATGACATTAGGTGTGAGTGTTCACCTGGTCCAAACACAGCATGTAAAGCTTCAGAGAACATCCAGAACCTGTCTCCTGAAGAGTTGATGCTACCTAGTATACCAGCTCAGTCCTACTCTTCTCCCCAGACGTTGCCTATTCTCTTGGCTCTTCCTCTTTTGTCTTTTCTCCCTCCTCCATCTTCTCTGTGGACTAAACAAGTAAGTCCTCTGCCACCATGAGTCAGCAGAGCTTCGGCAGCTTTTCTAGGGTTTTAATAATTGCCAATATACTGGACAAATAGGAGGGAACTGCTTCTCTTCTACCATGAGTTATTTTAATTTTTCTGAAAGGGGTGAGGCATCAAGAGATGAACATAGAGAGCATCAAATCTATGTTAATGGATTGCCAAATTCAATTTTCTTTACTGAGATCCTTTTTGAATTACACAAGCAGGAAAAGTGCCAGTGTCTGATAAACAGTTTTTTAAAATTACATTTCTGTATCTTCATGCAGCTGAATTGGTTCTTTTCAAATTGTGGAAATAAAGCTGCTCCCAGTGTGAAACATTTCATACCAAATTTCAGACCAATCTGGCCATATTATAAACTAGGAAAAACAGAGAATTAAGTTAAAGCTACATTTTAGATAAAAGGATACGTTTTATAAGTGATTTAACCTTTGACTTGGATCAACTACAGTTTATATACCTGTGTAACCCCATTGCATTACCATTTAACTCATATATCCAGGAAAAAAGAACTTGATGGCAGCCTGGCTCACTTGTCTTATGGATAAGCTAAAGCTAGTTTTCATCAGAGCTAATACTGCAACTCCTGAATGCCTAAAATCCAGGAGTTTGTTGAAGGTTTGGTGTAAATTTAACTTGTCCTCCACATGAGTTTGTGTTAGTTGTTGTGAGTTGTGATAGTTGCCGTAGCCACAGGGCATTTTAAGTTCACTGCTCTGTGCCATTGTGTCCTGTCCTGGAACAGCAGCTCCTAGTCACAAACAAGAGGTAAAAACTGCAAGTGACAGAAGTCTTAATGACTTTACACTGTTGGAATATTAGTTCTCAGAAACAGTGTTATTGCTTCTCTTCTGCCAATGAAGACATCATTTTATGCAATTCTGCAAAGACAGATGATCTTAAGAGAAATATTTCATTTATTTGTGTACTCTCACACACAGTCTGTGTTTTGGGATTTCAACTTTAGACATAAATTGAGATGCCACAGAACCTGAGAAGCTTATTAGTTTTTACTTGTATGCCTCTGATCACGCCAATTTGTTTTTCTGGGCTTTTTCTGAGGAGAAAATGGCATACATGAGAAAATACATTGACAAATGTGTTGCTAAATATGTTTTAACATTCACACAGATGAAAAGTGATGTGTTGGGTGGAGCCTGTGATGAACACAGTGTTTTCTTCATCAGCACAATAGACGAATTCAAAGTTGTTTGGAAATGATACACTATCCCAAGATAGTGATGGCCCAGATTTTTGTCTTGGTACTAAACTTTCATTAGGTTTTCTGCCTGGAAATTGTTCTAGATGGATTTCACTGCTATCTGATTTTGCAGTAATTTGCTTTAATTTAATTTCGTCTTTGATTTTGGTTTTGCTTATGTAGTTAAATTTTAGTATATTTTATTTTTCCATTCATTTTGACTGTGGTCTCTGTACCTAGCTGCAATTTTCCTATGGAAAGCTTAAAATGAACTGCAGCCAGCATAGTGAAGGGTGAATCAAAAGATGACATTCACTGTGAAAGCCTGTTCCACCACAGAGCTGGTTTGGAATTGAAACATTTTGTAGAGGAAAGAGCAAATAGCAAATCTTGCATTTTTCAGAGTTATGAGAAGGTACCTGTAATGACCAGGTACATCTGTTTGCTAAGTACATTTGAAAAGGGGGGATGACAGAATTATCAGGCTCCGGGAGAATGGGGATGAGGAGTGTAGGGAAGAGATGTAAACTTCCCAAAGCCTAAGGAACTAGCATTTACCAGGTCCTAGTAGGATTCCACGTAAATCAGCAGTCAAAATCCTTCCCCTGTCCTGTCACTTGATTCTCATCAGCCTTCCTCGGGACATTTCATGCTTACTCTTTGAAAGGCAGTTCTTGTTTAATGATGTGATTACAAAAAAAAAAGAAACAATTTTTTGAAAAGTTTCCATTTCTGTTACTCTCATAAAAAATCCATTCAGAAAAGCAGTATGATCCTTTTGAGCCACAGTGCATTATGCTCTTAGTACACAAACTTCAGAATGTAGACTTCTGGGTACAGCATTTTTTTTTTGTTCATAGATAGAGCTCGTGGGTCTAGGAGTGACTTTGTGTGTGTGGTTGCATGTCCCTTTGGGGAACCGTAGTTAAGAAGTGCTGCACTGTGTTCTTTGGGGTTTATGAAGTGACAACGTATGTCTTTCCCTTGACTTCATTTCACTGTAAAGAAACTAGGAGTCAGCTGGGTTAGCAATAGTAGCTTGTTCTAAATGATACTGTAGTGTGCTATCACTGTATCGTTAAGAGTAGATAAGTCTAATAAAATATGTTTGCAATTTTTGAGCCAGTGATTAAATGAACCTGCTGTTCCATGAGGATCAGATTAGAGCTGGGGGAGTATAACTCCCAGTGTAAATATCAGAGCGTGGGAAGACGGAGGGAAACTCAGGATGCAGGATTTGCCAAAGGCAGACATAAGGAAAGGGAAGTGTGGGAAAGCCAGGTTTAAGGAACATGCAGGGAAGGGAAATGGAGGCAACAAAAAAAGCTCTGAAGAAGCAGGGAGAGGAGGATCTTGAGACTAGGGAGGGTCTTACCCCGTCAGTTTGTCAGTACTGACCTAAAGGACCATGGTGCTAAGTGGTAGATGGGTGAGGTGGATAAGTGAAAATATCCCCTTGCTCTCCTGCGAGAACAATTACCTTTGCAAAGCCTCCCCTGGCCTCTGGTGAAAGGATCCCATGTTACAAATTCTGTGATAAGCTGAAGGAACATCTGAAGCTGAATAAGAGCCGTGCCCCCTTTCTAGGAGTCAGTAACCTCCGTAACATCTGATTGCTTGTAGAGGGCATCAGGGACACTTCTGTCAGATTGTGTATACTCGGAGGATCTCCCCAGTGCTGTGGTTCACAGGGCAACACGGGCTATCGCTTTCCTCATGCACAGTTACACACCGTTGAATAATGAAGCTTTTCCAACTGTACA